TTTCCACCAAAATTATGCAAAAAATACCAAACTCAAAATACCTCAAACTAGCTCATTGAGGCTCAATGAGGTTGTTTGAGCTATTTTGAGGCTGGTGTCTCATGTGGTTTTTAGAATATTAAAAATTTTAACGAATTCTCAGGAATCCTAAGGAATGTTGAAAAATTTTCAGGAATTTTAATGAATTTTAAGGGGCTTTAAAGAATTTCAAGGAATTCTAAGGGATTTTAACGAATTCTCAGGAATTCTAAGGAGATGTCAAAGAATTTTCAGGAAGCTTAAAGAATCCGCCGACCCCGGCCTTGGCCAAGGCAGGGGCGGGGCCTGGGACCACCGCAGGTGTGGAACCTCCTTCTTAGCTTCCCAAGGTCAAACCCATCTCCCACAGCCAACAGCGCTGCCCCAAGGCCACATCGCGTAAACATTCTCCTGGCATGCTTCATCCTGCAGTTAAGACTTCCAGGCATTTGGACATGAAAATTACATGCTTTGGGCAAGCAAGTTTTCCTGCGGAAGGTTTTGTATTTCAAGGCCAAAGCAGCCGTTCCCGCATTCCCGTAGTAAAGGTTCAAATCATCGACAGCGATGAAGACGGCGGGGTCCGTCCTTTGCCTTCCGTGCTGGCACCAAACGCACGAGGCCGCCTGCGCCGGCTTTAACTGTGCAAGGCCTTCTGCACGGGCTTTAAATGTGCAAGGTGCTGGACAGCACTTAGCAGGCATGTCCTGTACCCATATGCGCCCATATTTGGGCAATGGTTGCGGAGCTTGTCGGGGGTGGTCTACTTGCGTGTGGTGTTGCACTTGTTGCGCAGGCAATAGCGCTGCCCCAAGGCCACATCGCTTAAACATTCCCTTGGCATGCTTCATCCTGCAGCCAACAGGCACCCCAAGGCCACACATCAATGGCTTCTTATGGGCGTCCAAGCCTGCCGTTTGCCAGCCCTTAAACCCTTAAAACGCTTAAAACCCTTAAAACGCTTAAAACCCTTAAAAACCCTCAAAAACCCTCAAAACCCTTAAAACCCTGAAAACCCTTAATGGGCGTCCAAGCCTGCCGTTTGGCAGCCCTTAAACGCTTACCCTTAAAACCCTGCAAACTGTGCAAAAGCTTCTCGGCACGCCGAACCGCGCAGGCAATAGCGCTGCCCCAAGGCCACATCGCTTAAACATTCCCTTGGCATGCTTCATCCTGCTGCAGCCAACAGGCACCCCAAGGCCACACATCAATGGCTTCTTATGGGCGTCCAAGCCTGCCCGTTTGCCAGCCCTTAAACCCTTAAAACCCTTAAAACGCTTAAAACCCTTAAAACGCTTAAAACCCTTAAAACCCTTAATGGGCGTCCAAGCCTGCCGTTTGCCAGCCCTTAAACGCTTACCCTTAAAACCCTTAAAACCCTGCAAACTGCGCAAAGTTCTCGGCACGCCGAACCGCGCAGGCGATAGCGCTGCCCCAAGGCCACATCGCTTAAACATTCCCTTGGCATGCTTCATCCTGCAGCCAACAGGCACCCCAAGGCCACACATCAATGACTTCTTATGGGCGTCCAAGCCTGCCGTTTGCCAGCCCTTAAACCCTTAAAACGCTTAAAACCCTTAAAACGCTTAAAACCCTTAAAAACCCTCAAAACCATTAAAACCCTTAAAAACCCTCAAAACCCTGAAAACCCTTAATGGGCGTCCAAGCCTGCCGTTTGCCAGCCCTTAAACGCTTACCCTTAAAACCCTGCAAACTGTGCAAAAGCTTCTCGGAACGCCGAACCGCGCAGGTAATAGCGCTGCCCCAAGGCCACATCGCTTAAACATTCCCTTGGCATGCTTCATCCTGCAGCCAACAGGCACCCCAAGGCCACACATCAATGGCTTCTTATGGGCGTCCAAGCCTGCCCGTTTGCCAGCCCTTAAACCCTTAAAACCCTTAAAACGCTTAAAACCCTTAAAAACCCTCAAAACCCTGAAAACCCTGAAAACCCTTCATGGGCGTCCAAGCCTGCCGTTTGCCAGCCCTTAAACGCTTACCCTTAAAACCCTTAAAACCCTGCAAACTGTGCAAAAGCTTCTCGGAACGCTGAACCGCGCAGGCAATAGCGCTGCCCCAAGGCCACATCGCTTAAACATTCCCTTGGCATGCTTCATCCTGCAGCCAACAGGCACCCCAAGGCCACACATCAATGGCTTCTTATTGGCACGCACCCTTACAACTGTACAAAATCTGGGACGTGGCTGGGTTAGATATAGACCAACCACCTTCAGCCCAACCCCCCCCAGAAGGGAGGTCGGCGGCACCCGGGCGCTAGCCCATTCTATTTTCATGAATTTAAAGGGATTTTAAGGACGAAAGTTTTGTGCTAAGGACGAAAGTCTTGTGCTAAGGACGAAAGTTTTGTGTTAAGGATCTGAAAGTTTTGTGTTAAGGACGACATTTTTGTGTTAAGGACGAAAGTTTCGTGTTAAGGACGAAAGTTTGGAATTTTTAAGGCATTTTCTGATGAATTTTACGGAATCTTGAGGAAAATGAGGAATTTTCAGGAAATCCAAAATAATTCAAATGAAATTTAATGGATTTTAATGAGCTTTAAGGAATTTTTCAAGAATTGGAAGGAATTTGAAGGGGTTTTAAAAAATCTAAGGAATTCTAAGGAATTAAAAAAAATGCAAAATTTTAATGAATCTTAAGGAATTGTTATTGAATTTTACGGACTTCTAAGGAATTCTCAGGAAGTTGAAGAGATTTTCAAGAATTCTAAGGAATTCTAAACAAGTTTCAGGACTTTAAAAGGGATTCTCAGGAATTCAAAGGAATTCTAAAATAAATTAAAGAATTTTAAGGCACTTTAATGACTTTTAAAGATTTCAAGAAATTCTGAGGAAGTTTAAAGAATTTTGATTTTACTACAGCCCCCGGGGGTGCAAAATCAATGGTCAACATCTTCCAAAATTAAAGATTCAGCAGTTCGAACGATTTTTAAACCTGTCTGAGCTAGTTTGAGCTAGTTTGAGGCATTTTGAGGCTCATTTTTCCCAAAATTATGCAAAAAAACAAAACTCAAAATGCCTCAAAATGCCTTATTAAAGTTTAATAATGCTATTTTGAGCTATTTTGAGGCCTGGATTTGTCACGTGGTTTTCGGCCCCCGGGATTAAGCTTCTCTATGAATTCCCGGTTTCAGTTATCAGTCTGACCAATCAGCAGCACAAGAAAAGAATAAATGCGTTCACAAGGTTTTCTCTATTCATCCAAGGTCCGTGTGCAAGTTTCCCTTCACTCTGCACGGCAAGATGTTGCAAGCAAGAAGTTCAAGAACATTCGGGAGTTGCTGTGGGCCTCTTCGAAGGTCAACTCATTCACTTCTAAGTACTTTTGGACGTAACGATCCGCTTCAAATTCTGCCTCGGTAAGCGCGCAATAAACCACAGTTAATATGTCTTAAGTATCGTCATGTCAGAACAAACTCTGAAGGTGCAGTTGGAATCAGATGGACATGTCTACTCAATGGATGGAAATTGAATTGAAATTAGAGAGTCCATGTGGTGCAAAGACCTTGTCCTGCAGCTGCGACCCAGGCTGCCATTTGCTCATTGGGAATCTCTTCGTTGCCCGCAGCGTCTTCGCCATCATGAATTTCCTCAACGGCTTCTTCTCCCTGCAGAAACATAAGTGATGTACTTGCAAAAAGGTTGCTTCAAATAGTGGCTGCATGATGGGGCGAGTTGTGGACCTGTGGGCGAGGAGGTCTGGCAAACACGCAGAATCTTCCATGACATCCGAAAGTAATTTCTTCAGTTCAGAAAGCCATCTAACTGCGGCGCACTTCTCTGATGGGGTAAGCAATCATACCGGTGATGAACATACATTAATCAGGAAAACCACACAAGTCGGATGTAAGTTTCAAAGATAGGAACTGTAGGAGAGGTGAGCTGTTGTGATGCATGTATGGCAGGGCGAATCCACTGATGGACCGAAATGTGGTTGGAGTTCTGTTTTTGGAATGGTTGCAGTGGTCGCCTCACAACCAATTGCTGTATGTAGTGTGGTGTAGTGATAGTTGTAGCTGTAGCTGTAGCTCTAGTTGATGTTGTTGTAGTTGTAGTTGCAGTTGTAGTTGCAGTTGCCGTCGTATTTGTAGTGTAGCGTGATTTGTGTAGTGTATGTAGTGTAGCGTAGTGTAGTGTGGTGTGGTGTGGTGTAGTGTGTTGTGGTGTGGTGTAGTGTAGTCTCGTCTAGTCTAGTCTAGTCTCCTGTCTAGTCTGTCAGTCTAGCCTAGTCTAGTCTTAGTCTCTAGTCTATAGTCTCTAGTCTAGTCTCTAGCCTAGCCTAGCCTAGCCTAGCCTAGCCTAGTCTAGTCAGTCTAGTCTAGTCTATCTAGTCTAGTCTCTAGTTCTAGACTAGTCTAGTCTAGCGGCTAGCGTAGGGCAGTGGTAGTGCTAGCGGTAGTGGTAGTCTCTTTCACCCGCCTCTTTTTACACACAACATCACACACAACTCTTTCACACAAATCTCTGTCACACACAGCTCTTCACACACAACTTTGTCATACACAACTTTGTCACACACAACTCCGGAACATGCAACTTTGTCACAACCAGCTCTATCACACACACACACACATGCGCACACGCACACGCACACGCACACGCATACAACTCTTTCACATAAACCTCTGTGACATTCAGCTCTTTCACACAATCTGATAATTTGTTTTCCACCATCTCCTTCATTTTCCCTGCCTTTCCCATCCCATGTTCACGCCTGTTTTGTGCTTATTGGAAGAAGTTGACATGTGGGGTTATCCGGTCCTTCAGTTCTGGATATACACACAGATATGTATCTCCAAATGTGCTCTATGATGTTCTATAGTATCGATGCTCCTCTTGCGTTCATCTGGTTTGACCAGACAAGATTTCTTGGCTCGCCTCGACAAAATCGGTCTCCCCGTTGTCGTCGGAGTTGTCAGACATGGTGACAGTTGGTGAAAGATGGGGGATGATTTCACATCCCGTTGTCTTAAGCCCAGCAGCGGAAGCCAAGTTTTGCAGGAGGAAATTGTACAGTAGCCAGTAGCCGTTCTTCCAGCATCAATTCAAACCTATTCAACTGTGAGAAACAGTTGGGCCACCATGAAACAAACACCCCAACATGGAAATGGCCGCTAGCCGCCATGCCGGCACATGACCAAGCCATGAACGGTTGCCAACACCTCCTTTTACAAAGGGGTTCTGTGTGTATGTTGAAACCTTTAGCACGCTACAAAACAGTCCGCAATATACCACATATCCTGTTGGAAGCCTTGACTGGTTCGAAAAGGTGATCCATCAGGCCACCACCCATCAGGCACGCAAGCGGCAACAGAAAGATTTGAATTAACAAAAGTGTTTATGACAAAGACTCTCCAGTGTTTGCTGTGGCAACCGGACTGCAACGGCATTTCACATCTCATGATATGGAGAAAAGAAGCCGTGGACAGCGAGTAGATGCAACTGTAACCGGAACGAAAGAATTGAACTCTGATCTTCGGACGCTTTCAAACCGATGCAGACTGCAAGCCTTTATGATCCACTTGCACGGAATGTGCTTCTTTACGAAATCCGTAGTGATCTGTCTTTGCAAATCATACTGCAGTCATTGGAGTCTATTCGACATGCTGACTCTTGGTGAGATAAAATATAACAGGACCGCAGGCCTCTTGGCCAACTTGGGAAACCGAGCGACTTCCACGCAGTGAGAGTTGCTGGTGAAGATGGCGAGTGTGATCGAAGCAGTCACTGTAGAAAATCATAGAAAAATGCATGGCATTAAGATCCATCTATTCTAGTAGATATAGTCGATATAGTGTGATATAGCGTGGTATCACGCTATCAAGTTTCCCAGAAACCCAGGAGTGAACCTTTTAACGATAGCTCAACTGTTGGCACTTCAGCGCGGGGTTGAGCAACATGTGGTGAGCCAGTGAAGCCTGTTGCGTTGGCTTCTTGCCAGTTGAAGCTAAGACAAGCTAAGATCGATTGTGGAAGGCTAGTGCCATGACACAGAGACGCATCTTGCAAAAAATGCCCTGTGGACATCCTCATACTTTGCTGGCCCAAGACTGAGCCAGGCACGCCCTAGCTCTCTAGCTACAAAATGAAAGATTACTGGTTGGGCTGAATCGCTGCCAATGACCTAAAGCGGGTCCTCAAGCTGGGCCGCAGCTTGCGCTGATATGTCAATCCATGATCTCGTCGAGGGAGGGTTGCAAAACTATTTACTGTAGTAACTATTTAATACATAACAGTGCAATTATGTGCATTCTACAAAAGATGCAATTATGATATACATAACATATATGTGTATATATATATGCATATATATATATATACAATATACATAAACATATGTGATATATGTACGTATATGCGTGTGTGTATGTGTGTGTGAAACATCTGAAGAGATGTAAAACTTCTAACTTGTACTTTTGTGAACCTGCATTTATTCATTTCAGCTGAAACAAGGTTTTTTCATTTTAGCAGGGGGTAGCGGCAGATCATTTGGGACCGCTAACAACGAAGACGCCCATTTGATCTGGTGATACAGATTGGGACGCCAATCTGCGTACCTGCTTTTTCCATGCCGTTTTGCAATGTTCATTTCCTTGTGCATGGCATCCGGCTAAGCCCAGAACCGGCCAGTCGATTCAATTTAGAATTTGCTGCGCTGCATCAGAACAATTTGATTCTTTTAGCAAGGACATTGAAAGATGTTCTTCGCACAGTATCTCACTCCTGATCATCCAATGTCTCCTGTCAGGTTTAACTGATGTGTTTTTGCACGTACGATGCATTCCACATCAGAATTCGCAAAGATGTTTCTGAGCAAGTGTGTGATTCATGCTGGATTCGTCAAGGTGGCATGAACCCTTCGGGGAATGCTTGTCTAAGCAAAGAATTGACACTTTGAAACGACCTCTGAATTTACACTTTTGAACTATATAGTAATTCGTCTAAGTAGAGTGAAACAGCTGGCCTTACTTCAGGGTTTCACACGTCGGTCGAGTGAATGTTGAAACTGCTGGCCGCTGTGCTTGGCCTCACCTCTTTCTGGAAAGACATTGCATAGCTTGGAGCCGCGCCAGCACTTTCTTTTCTCATCACTCCTCGAGAGTTTGACTGACATTGGCAACATGGAGATTCCAGGTCTCAGGACATGCTTTAGGTGTGGTTTTCTTTTTCTTGATGGTTTCTGGTGAGGTTCAATTGTGCACGTAATGCAGGGGTTGACCACGTAAGCCGTATACAGGGTTGTGAAATGAAAGGCGAGGGCCTTTGAGCCTTATCACGAATTATGCATGCCATGTGGAGGCATCAGTGGAACAATTTTGTTAATTTGATTATACTTAACCTGACAGTGTCGCCATGTTTCCTGGACGATTTCCAAACGTCCCAGACGCGATGTGGAACTTTGGATGGAATCCGCAGACTATGGGACTTCACAGTCAATTTTGCGGAGGTGATATGATGAACCAACAGTCTCAAGCCCAGTCTCAAGCTCAGACTCAGGCACAGCTTGCAGCTCTAAGGGAGCAAAACGCCATACTGAACCAACAGCTCAACTCTCAAGCCCAATCCCATATCCAACACCTCCAGCAGCTCATTCCTTTCCACCAACCTCCACATCCTGTTCAAACTCCATCAGTTCCACCAACTCCACAACCGTCAGGTCCTCAGGCACCAGAACCACCAACACCGGTGGCTACGCCAACCACACAATCTGGACCTGCTCCATCCTTCAATCCTGATGAGATGTTTCAACAGATGACACACACGGTTGAGTCCAGCCTTCAAGCATTGGTGGAAAAGACTCAAGAGCGTCAAGCCAACCAACCTCCAGTACATCCACCAAGTTCCACACTTCCACCAAATCTCAGTCACAATCCACCACCTTTCGACCAACCACCACCAAGACAACGCTCTTCCCACAGATCTCGCTCTCATCACCACCACTCTTCATCACGCAGACATGATAAACGGCCAGCATCCATTCCACGAAGTCCTCATCGTCGACACTCACATCGACGCTCCCGTCGCTCATCAAGACCGCGATCCTCCTCCATGGATATTTCCACCATTTTCCACCCATGGACATGAATCCAGGCAATCAGGCAGGGGAACATCCATCACTCTCCGTTCGGCCTCTCCAAGTCATCGACAAGATCGACATCGAGATCACGACCACCAACCACCACGTGAAACCCCGCCAGACAGCTACTCTTCAAGCCGCACAATGGGCACACAACCCACAACAGTCATCACCCACTGATCCCCAAACACGTTCCTACCACCACGACCACGACCACTCATCCACCAGCAAGTGGCAGTCATGGGGACAGTGGAAGGATTACTCCAAGCACTCTGGATCATACAACACATCCAAGCGGGTGGACTACACACAACCTTCAGACAGCCACCATATACTCCCCAAGACTCTTCCACAAAACCACTTACGGCATTCTCCTCAGACCACACGACACCATCACTACGCAACAAGAAGAAGAAACCTCCTACATCGGGGCATACCCATCCTACCACTCCTTTCAATGTCCCTCCTGGACACATGGTCCTCAGTCTTCAAGAAGGCTCAAAAGAAGAGTGGAGCCGAGGAGTCCGGTTTGCCTTACGCCATCCAGACCGCATGCCAGCAGCATCAGAGGTAGCACCAGAGGACAAACCACAGCCTCTGCAGACGATCGACATCAAGGAATTTGACCATGCAGTGGAGATCTTAAAACAAGTTGACACACGCATACCTTCGGACGTCATCCAAAAATCGGTCCAATTGCTATTCAGCACATACCTCCTTCCGTCCTACGACCTGCGGAAGTCATACATCATTGAACTTCCCTCCGCCAACATGCTTGCACTCATATTCCCACTTCCAGATTCCAGTCACTTTCAAATGCCACCTCCATTTCAAAAACATCAAAATCACACTTGGGCACTTCTCCACGGAACAACCCTCCGTACCTCACAACTCATCATCCTTGAGGGCAAGATCAGACCGGCCAACTGGTCATACCACAAAAACCTCCAAAGATGCGACATGCCGACCTTTGGGGCTTTTTACCTTGGCAGAGAAGTGTCCAACAGTGACAAGAACTTTCCAGATTGGGCGGCGAAGGAGCTTATGGACACCATCCAAAAGAAAGGAAAAGGACAACAGGATGTTGTCATTGGGGCGATGTATCGAGGAGCAAGCGCACACACTGCCTTCAAAGCTGGTGGCAATGAAATGGCACAGCTCTCTGTAGCTGAGAAAGGAGTGGCAACAACGTCGGAGAAATACACGATTGCCCACAGCAATCATGTTGGGTTGAAGTTCATCGCCCTGAAGTGGCAGAACTTGAAAGACCACATCGACGTCAATGACTCGTCCTCAGATAACTGCAACTATCGCAGCATCAGACCTCGGACTAAGGATCGACACTCAGGTCGTTGATTGACAACCAGCAGTCAGCAATTTTGCCGCTGTGTATTATTAGATCTTTTCGGCATTACCCGGAAACCGGAGTTGACATTTCTAGGGAAACCTGGACCAGCTTTTGATCAAAAAAGTACGGTTGCCTCAATCTGGAACTGACCTTTCTTCTTTGTCTCACTGGTGAACTTTGCTTAGTGAATACTGCTCGTTTCTTTTTGACATGATTTGACAAACATGATCGACAGTGCCCATTTGGTGTCTACATTCTGCCTGATGATGTCATGCATTGCATCTGGAAGCAGACTGACTTGACTTCGGCTTTTGCATGTTGCTTCTTTTCCTTTTCTTTTCTTTCCTCTTCTGTTCTTTTTTCATGCATCATTGTTTTTGTTGTCACTGTAGTTTTGGTGCATTCTCAACGGCCCAACGTACCTCGTGTGGTGTGTCATCATGGCAGATTCGGATCGCTCCAGATCACCTATGCCGGGACGCAACCGATCTGAACCTTGTGGTCAAGC